TGATCTAATCTTGCCAGCGAGTGTGTAATGTTTTCAAACCAAGTGTAAGATGAAGACTTGGGACAAAATGCATTGTACATATCCAAACTACTGTATACAGTGTATTCATAACGTGCACACAAATGGTAGTGCATGAAGTATCTTTAGATCAATAACTCAGGAAGCCTGTCTAGAAATAATTATTTTTCGTAAATAATCTCTCAGTGTTCCTCCATTCTTATGTTCTTATGTTCTCCACGCTATTCGAAGCTTACACAGTCTTCATTTGTCCGACAAGGCTCTTCATTTAAGATCTTGGCTCACTCCTTGGTACACGTAGAGAGCTTTCTCCTGCAGGAGGGCGAGGAAGGCGAAGACGTAGCCGAGGAATAGCAGGTAGAAACCTCCTTGAAGGTGTTGAAGACTCAGCACAGTCTCCCCTTGCGACTCGCTCTGCCAGATTGAGTAGCGGAGATAAAGCAACATATATATATATAATATATATATATATATATATATATATATATATATATATATATATATATGCACTGGCCGAGACTCGAACCCTCGAGCTTTAACACGCCACCCTAGTAGCCCGTTAAAATTCGAGACGCCCTAATCCATTGAACCATCAGTGTCACAAACAATAGGCGCCTAGTAGCACTAGACATCACTCCTGTCGCAGACACACGTAGCTGTGGCAATCTAAGGACTAATTTCATTCTCCTCTCGTTTGGAGTACCAATTACACAAACAGTTTACATATTAATGCATCCACGGTCAAGTGGTTTTAAGCAAATAGCAACTGCACTGGCCGAGACTCGAACCCTATATATAAAACCCCTTTGTAAGTTGGAAGCCTCCAGCTTCCTAACGTTGTCACTTTAAGTTTTTAACCCAATAATCTACATTGATACCATTGCAATTGTAAGTTGGAAGCCTCCAACAAACTACATTGATACCATTGCAATAGTATTATTGTGATATAGTTTCAGTACGAAGAGGCCAGTTTCAATATAAATAAATCCACATGCTTTCATCTTCATGTTTTCCTCCATATGTTTTCGTCCACGTGCTTTTATCCACTTGCTTTCATTCACATGTTTTCGTCCTCGTTTTCATTCACATGTTTACATCCATATGTTTTCATCTTGATGCTTTCATCCACAAGTTTTTATCCACATGTTTTCATCCACATATTTTCACCCTAATGATTTCATCCACATGCTTTCATCCACATGCTTTCATCCACATACTTTCATCCACATGCTTTCATCTACATTCTTTCATTCATTTTTCTTCCGTATTGCTTATCTTCATTTCTTCACTTACCAACACTAAAAAAACTACACATTGACTATCTACGCAGTATAACCACAGACAACCTCACATGTTTATCTAGCGGTTTCTGAATACGCTGGAATTAACTCTACAAGGAAGTGGTGGAAACTGATTCTCCACACCGTTTTAAGAGCAGGTATGATATCTGCAGCGTGTTTCGAGGATCAACGACCCCGCGGCCCTGTCCATGACCATCCTCACAGTGGATCAGCGCCTGATTACCTAGGCTGTTACTGCTGACCGCTCGTAAACCAATAAAAAACAACAGACAAGTGGTTATAAAGTCAGTAGGCCTACCATTGAGCTGGCCATAGGTTTATAGGTAGCATAGGCCTTCTCGCCGTCTTTGGCGGCTGCTGTGATGCCCTCACTCTTCCAGTGGTCTATGAGGCCAGACTCAATCATACGTTGTTTGATAAGGCTGAACCGCTGGCGGAATGGAGCTCCTCTCCTGTAATGAACACATGCATAAGCTCAATGCATTCCAAACTCTCATCCTAAGGAAAACGCGAGATTTTTAAAACATTACGGTGAAAATAATGTAGGAAGCATTGTACACATTTTGAGAACACTATTTTCGACTTACTGGGCCATAACTGATTACTCTGTGTACGAAAATTTTGGCTAATTTACGTTAACGCAAATTATCTAAAATTGACCAATTCTAAGAGAATTTTAAAATAATGATACCTGACCATGGAATATCTGATGTAAGGAAGACCGTGCAAATGCGAAGAAAACGTTGAAAAATGTACACAGACGCAAGGTTCATCACCAGGTAAAAAAAAATACTAATAGACGCAGAAGCTTGGAATCATCACTCATCTGTATTTCCAACAATTTCAACTAGAACAATGGCTTTTACAATATAACTTCTTACTTGGAAACTTCTTCATCGTTATCCTGCGGAGCAACAAGCCTATTGGCCCAAGCCGGGCGAGTCATTCTGAACTCCAAGCTCTTCTCAGTCATCAATTTCACCATTCCTCATCGGACTCTTTACGTCACTATGCTCCCTATTTATACTCATGTACTCTCTGCTCAGATAAATCTATTTGTGACTGATAAAGCCCACTCTGCGGGAGAAACATTGTAAATAAAAGATCTCATTGTACTGCATTTGTGTCTACTTTTCCATCGTGTCGGTATTTTATATCATTTATCCCCACCTCTGTATTCGACTGATGAAGCCTACCGTGTAGGCGAAACATTTCGGAATAAAGATCTAATTTTGGACATGTTTCTTAATTATGCTTAAAACGTCGTAAAATAACTGCATCTCCTGTTTGAATTACTAATATATGAGTATTTCATTAGGTCATTTCACGACTCTATACATTTACCTAATTCATTTTTCACAAATACCTAAATTATTTGTTACATCGTTTTCTTACAGACTATATGAGGTGTAATCCTTATTTAGCTCATTTCAAAGCCAAGCCGTATCTAAATTAGGCTACAATCCCAGGGTGCCACTCACAACAGTCGTCTGACACCCGGTATTTATTTACTCTTAAATGAACAATGTCAAGAACTGTAAGGAGACATGTACTTCGTGTCCACCCGTACAGGGTTGTGATCACGCACTTTGTATCGTTTTTTCTGGAATATTCACTTGAGAAGTGATCCCAGACAATCGTGATCACAGGCAAGGGTATAGCCATTCATCAAGGTTGAACAGTCCTTTGGTTTTGAGACAGGCACTACCACTAAGCTCCGAACTAACCACGGTACGGGTAGTGTTCGAACCCATGGCAAGTGAGTCGTAGAACTCCGGGCCATTGCCGTACCGTGGTTTGTTTGCAGTCGTATTATTACGATTTCGTGAGTGAGCTATGAATTGCTTATTTTACATTTAGACTCGGAGACTGACCTAAAACCCCAGGCGACGCCAGCGAAGACAGGGTAGCTGGTCTTGCTGATGTGGAAGGGGGTGAAGCCGTGGGTGTCGGTGTAGCGGGAACTGATGACGATGGTAGCAGTGTACATGTTAGCAATAACTGAGTGATGGCCTCTCAGTATTCTCTCCAGTCCATTCTCCAGCGTCTCTGGCTGAGAATGTTATTAATAAGGGGCGAAATCAATAATATACACACGAAAATGGTGATATACCATTCCTCACGATGTGACCCGCACCTGCATAGTGTATAGGACCTATTGACTGCTAAGTGAAGAGGGATCAGGGGTGTAAGAAGATTTTCCGGCTCGACCTCACCGGCAATCACATCCTGAGATACTGATGACCACATTAGTTGTTAACATTACTAAAGAAGTAATTTTCTGGAAAGACTAGTAATAAGTTGATGAGGGTCCAAGTGACTCTTAAAAAATTAGTAAGGAATTGGAAATTGTCCCCCAAAAACTATTTGGTTCGAAATGAAGTAGCAATGAAAGAAATAAGTTGAGTATAAAATGTGGAAATTATAGTAATTATTGTATTAGCGGATTGTTATTATTATAATCAAAAAGAAGCGCTAAGCCACAAGGGCTATACAGCGCTGCAGGGCAGGAAGGAAGCGAGGGTATAAGGTGGCAAAAGGTTGTATAAGCGGAACTGCCGCTTTAAACAATAATATAAATGGAATGGACTCAGTTTGAAAAAAAAGTGTAAGTAAATCAAACTTTGAAACACTCAGAATGTTTTTTATGTTCAACACATTGGTAACTGAGCACGTCTAGGTTTAGTATATACAGTGCATTTGTTATCGTGTTTTAGCTAAATGACTAAGTGCAGTTAAGTACGAGTCCATGAAACACGGGGAATGCTTACTTGCAGAAATTTGTTGACTTCTTGAGTAACACTGTCAGGAGACATACTGAAGTACATGTTAATACTACCGGCGGTGGAGGGCAAGCCCCAGGTCCAGCCGTCCTGGTCCAGCAAGTCTTGAAAGGAGTCGATGGGTGGGAACATGCTCAAGACAGTGAGGTGGGCGACGAGGGAGGAGCGATAGGCAGCAGCGATAACCAAGCAGAACACCAGCCACCAGCCCACGAGCATCTGTGGTACAGGTGTTACTAAACTGAACACTACTCCGCTAGCATCCGTCTTCTGTTACTTGTATTTACATGCAGAACACCGGCGTCTTTCGTATACGAAGATAGACTGAAGCCTTGTGTGTGCGCGCGCGCGTGTGTGTGTGTGTTTGTGTGTGGGTGTGTGTGAGTGTGTGTGTGTGTGTGTGTGTGTGTGTGTGTGTGTGTGTGTGTGTGTGTGTGTGTGTGTGTGTGTGTATCGTGCCGAATAGGTAAAACTTGCGATTTTGGCTTAAATGGTAAAGCTCTTCTTGCCGAATAAGGCAAGCGAAAATTTGTGTATGCAATATTTTCGCAAAAATCATTCTGAACCTAACAAAAAAAAATATATTTCGTTATGTTTGTTATTAAATTATTGTAAACTTATCTGAAATAAATTTAGTTGGATTAGGCTGAATTAAATTGCTCTTGTTACAATAAGGTTAGGTAAGTTTTCTAAGGTCCTTTTAGTATAAAATTATTAATTTTTACATTAACATAAATTGAAAAAAAATATGTCTTTAAACGTATAAGAGAAAATTTTAGAAAGGCCTTAATTTTAAATGAGTTCTTGCTAATTGACCAGCTTTACCTATTCGACACGACATATACATATATATATATATATATATATATATATATATATATATATATATATATATATATATATATATATATTATATATATATATATATATATATATATATATATATATGCAAAACAACCACTCTGAAAGAATAGAGAAATTCCAAGCGCTTTCGTGACTACTCACATTATCAAGGAACTCATAGTTCCTTGATAATGTGAGTAGTCACGAAAGCGCTTGGAATTTCTCTATTCTTTCAGAGTGGTTGTTTTGCATATTTTGAAATCACCTGTTTACTGTGATCTTATTGCATATATATTATATATATAATATATATAATATATATATATATAATATATATATATATATATATATAATATATATATAAATATATATGTCGTTGCCGAATAGGCAGAACTTGCGATCTTGGCTTAAACAGCAACGTTCATCTTGCCATATAGACAAGTGAAAATTTGTGTATGCAATAA